AAAGTTTTCTTTTGCTTTAAATCATGAATGGATATTGGAATCTGTCCAATGCTTTTCCTGAATCTATAGAAATAATGATTTGCCATTTCTTCTATTAATTCAGATGTTAAAATCCCCTTGCATTTCTGGGATAAATCTTTGTTCATCATGGGTATAACCTATTTAATAAGTTGCTGAATCCTATTTGCTAATATTAAAAAAATAATTTTTATGTTCACAAGAGATACTGCTTTATGGTTATATCTGTTTGATTTTGATATCAGAATAATACTGGCCTCACAAACAACCTTATTTTTGCTAATAATGCACCTACATATATATAATGTGGGACATAGTGCACTTATGTAAATAGTGTGGGAGGGTTTCACAGTTGTCAAAGAGAAGTATAATGCTACCACTACTTGCATAAAAATACAGTAAGTTGGAAAATGCTCTCCCTTAATTTTCTGAAACAGTTTGTAAAGAGTTGGATTAATTTTTCTTAAATATTTGATAAACTTCACCAGTGAAGCTTAAGCTGAGCTCAAGTTTTTCTTTATGAAAATTTAAATTACTACTTCAACTCTTGTTATACATTTAAACAGATTTTATATTTATTCTTGAGTTAATTTTGCTAATTTCTGTAATTTTCAATATTTGTTTATTTTAATTAAACTGCTTACTTTTTTGGTGTGCAGAAAAGAGTTAACATACCAGGTCTAAACTGCTATTCTTTGAAAAGCACACTTACTTGGTTCATATTTTCTCAGTTTTTATGACATGTCTTAGTTTCGCAGGCATAGTTCTGCCAAAGTGAATGATAGTGAATTCAGTGTCCTGTGCTGAAACCCTCATTGTTTTCTTAAACAGGATTCAGTCATTTAAGATTTTTAATATGTATAAGTGACCATTTTGTGTATCTTAGTCTATAAAGCTTTCCCACATATGAATATCTGCCTTATCGTAATAATATTTTAAATTCTATACCAGTGGGTAATGTAATAGTAGTTTAAATTCTATACAAGTGCATATATATATATATATATGCCTTAGATATATGAATGGATTTTGAGCTCGCACTTAATCATAAGTCCTAATCTAAGAACAATCAGTTCTTATGATTTGGCCCTGCTTGATACTTGTGCTCATGAAGAGATTGCTGATAATATGAGTGCTTCAGCAGAGCGTAGTGCAGACATCAAATGGTTCCCAGCTATCATAAAGAATAGTGTCTGGGGTCTTAGAAGCTTGTCTTAAACAAGCAGCCAACTAAATGACGTGCCAGCTAAGTCCACTTGGAAGAAGAACACCAACCTGTGTTACCCAAGGACTAAATAATAAAATCCAAGATCAGAGGGGGGAGGAGGGTTGTATTAGAGCTTAATTTCTGAGCATGTGGTTTTCAGAAAGCTATGAATGATAGTAAAAGCCCCAAATTTATTTACTGAGTCTCCATATGGACTAAGCCTCCATTGAATTCCCCAGACCACTGACTAGGGATGTGAATAGTCTTGCCCTCACATAGAGTACACTGCAAAATATATTACTACACAGTTAGGCTAAAAGTTAACATATTACCATTTGTTTTCCTCTTTGATCTATTTTCAGTTTGTTCTAGTTTTTATTATTTTCTTCTTTCTTTAGGATTAAGGTTTTTCTATGTTTTATTCTGTTGTTAGGGGTTTTTTTTGTATGATTTACTTTATATGAAATCCAATATAGGTAAATCTATGTGAAAGTTATTAAATTAATAGACTTCGGGTTATGGCAGGGAAGTTGGGGGGAAATGGGAAACTAATAATAATAATAAGCACAAAAATAAGGTAAAATTTCACTTATAGTTAAATATTACATATAAATATATTATAATAAATCCATTCCCTGTGATGGACTCAAGGTATTTGCAATCATTCACTGTTAAAATTATGCAATAAGTATTTTTATTCATTTCTTCCATGAACATGTAGCAAGAATAACAAGGGTGTAAATAAGAATAGAAAGAGGCTATAAATGATTGTGCAGTATGCAAAATCTCACCAGTGGCTCTCACATGGCTAGAGGTAGAATGCTGACTATATTTCAAGTATTTTCTAAGCATAACTTTTTTTCCTTCATGTGTCATTTGGGATCATATCTGAATGAACAAATCTTTTAAAGAACATAGATATGAAATACACAAACTTATTAAAGAGTTTATAGGTCTCTTCTACAGCAAGAAGCAATTCTTTAAAAATAAGACTGGAAATCACCCCCTTTTGTACAATTCCCAAAATCTTTTAATTAAAATATTCTCATGCTAGCTACTTCTGTGAATTTTTTTGTGTGTAAAGTAATAAAACGGGAAAAAGAAAATATTCTGCTTCATTTAGTTTGTTTCTTTGCCATTAATTTTTTGTTTTGCAGAAAGGAACCAGTCTGGAATGAAGATATAACTTTTTTGAATCCACACATTTAAATAGTTCTTCCCTCTAAAACAATTAAGGACAGAAAACTGGCACTTGCCTACAGACTTGAACTGAAAAGCCACTCTGGAATGCTACTTCCCCGCGTAGACATCTGCCTAAATCAGGCTGCCCTTAATTTCTTTTTGGTTTACTCGACGAAATTAAAAGTTACAAGCCAATGAGCTCTAAGATCATAAACCACATGTTCTTTTTGATTCTTTTAAATTTTCATTAGTTTCAATTTTTCTACAATGAACATGTTTTAGCTATTGTTACAATTAGAAAAACATATTTTAGTTTGAAAAGGCTTAGTTTTAAAACAAGTCACAATTTAAATCTATTTGCATTATCCGGTTAAGATAGACACAAAAGTATAAATGACTCTCAATTAAGGTGAACAAGTCTTTGCCACCTGCCTGAAAATATATATGTATTATGTAAAAAAACCCCATATGGTTATAAGCTAATTCTTTAAACAAGACACTAACATCTTTATGAATGTGGGAGCAAACTTTAACTAGGTTCCACTGTAGAGAGACCACTGGAAAGGAAACCCAGCAAACCTGGGTCTGTTTCGGCTCCATGTCTGAAAAATAAGGACAGTCCTCCCCTGTATGCACATGGGTGCTTTGGATTATGTTCCCTCAAAATATATGTCATAAATCTTAACCTCAATGTCTGTGGTTAGACTCTCATTTGGGAATGAGCCGTCTTTATTATCCCAGGGAGGCAGTGTTACTGTAGTGTGTATCCTGAGTCAATTTCTTTTGAGATGTAAAATGAGATGAGATTAAACTAGGAAGCACAGATGGGGGAGGATCATGTCACCCCACATGAAGCCCCCCCCAGGAGCAGAAGTTCAAAAGAGACAACAACCTTCCTCCAGGTGTGACACAGAGAGAAAGCCTTCTCTTGGAGCCAGTACCTTGAATTCTGCGTTGTATTCTCAAAGAAGAGAAAATGACCTCGTTTGCAAGAGTTACCCACTGGTGGTATTTCTGTAAGAGCAACATAGGGAGCAGAGCTGGCTCAGTCTTAGTGTGAGGCCATACCTCTGGGCTTAAAAGGGTGGAGCCAAGGTTTCTAGAGTAGATATTCAAAGATAAGACCTCTTAGGGTTCTCTTACTGTGGATGACTACTGCTAAAGCTCAGGGCCAAGGAGCCTCTATCCTGAAATCAGAAAGTCCGACCATTTCCAGGCTGCGTCAGAGAAGAGAGGTTTATTTTCAAGTCTTGAGAGATAATATGAATTGTTCTGTTGCACCTTAACCTTGCTGGGAGCCTACTATCCATTTTTCCCCTCCAAATTCTCCCATTTATCACAGAAATATCTACCATGTGCTTGTTCTATCATTGGATTTTGGAAGCAGAAAACTTATTTTGTCCTAGAATGGAATATACCAAAAATCTGATTCAGAAGATAAGATTCCAGACTTGGAGTGATTTGAAACTTTTGAGATGATGTGATGAGGTGAGTACATTTTACATGTGGGAAGAACAGGAATTTTGGGGGCCAGAGGGTGCAATGTTATGGACTGAATTGTGCCCCTAATAATAAGTGTTATAAATCCTAACCTCTATGCCTCGGTTTATAGTTCCAATTGGAAACGGGTATCTTTGTTACATGAATGAGACAGTGTTAATATAGGATGTATCTGAGGCCATCTCTTTTGAGATATAAAAGAGAGATTAAACAAGTGAGCAGAGCAGAGATGGAGTCAACAAATGTCAAGGCATATGGAGATCTCCAAGGAAGCAGAAAATAGAAAGTGAAGAGATAACGACCTTCCTCCAGAGATGACACAGAGAGAAAGCCTTCCCCCAGAGCCAGCACCTTGAATTCAGTCTTTTATCCCCATAAACTATGAAGAAAGAAATTCTGTTTGCTGAATTAACTCACTAAGACAGGGGTCTTATGGGGACTGCCTAAGATTACAAAGATCAAATCTGTCTGTAGCACAGTGCCACACACACACACACACACACACACGCACACACACGAATAAGCCGAGTTTTCCAGCATATTTTTAATGCAGTTTTTGTGGTAAAATTAGGTGCCTTGGCTGATATTCAGCTTATACTCGAGTATATATGGTATATAGTAAGTGCTCAATAAATTGCCACTGCTATTAAATGCTACTTTAGAAATATTTAAAATTCTTCTACAATAAATGAAACATTGCTATTGTAATTATAATTAATAAATCACTTTGAATATTTATCCTAATGAGAATCCTTCCCAAACAAGCAATCCTTGCTAATCCATGACATAAAGGTGAATCTAAATTGAACACATTTTTTTTTCAAACTTATCAAGCAAAATGTAGACTAAGGATTCAATCATAGCCAGTTAATAAGTGCTTATTTATGGACTCTTATGCTCATTACTTAATTGAGAGAGGGAGAAGAGAAAATTCACCTGAAGACAAAATACATGTATTTTAACAGATGGCAACAGGAAAAAAATACACAGTCATAGGATCATGTTAAAAAGGTATATAATTTCAGCAGAGGTAGCCATAGCAATAGCTTCTAGGAGGAAAACACAAAACCTACAGCCCCCTTTTGTTGTTTACCTGGATGAGTCATGGTGACTGGCTCTTCTTTGGATTTGTTATTGTAGATGACTACAGCAACAGCATTGTGGAAAGCAGCCCGTGATATTTTCTCTTTAAATGTACAATTTCCCCTCTGCAGCAAGGCAATCCACTGCTTGATATTAGGAGGAACAAAGAACCGTGTTTGAGGATCACAGCCCAGATGATCAGCAACTAAACAAAAAAGGAAAAGAACACACATTAATTTTTCCTGATTATAAGGAAAAAATGCCCATAAAGTTTTATTATCAAAGCGCTCAACTATTCTCTGAATATGGTTAGCTCTAAAGCACTTTGAGAGCCTTGTTGCCACCAGAGTTATGAATATGTCCAAAAACAACAGTACAGTGAGTCTGAATCAAGATTTGTACAAAGAGCTGCTCCACTAAAATGAACCCTGTGATGTAAATTATAACAGTGACAGTCTCTTGGATAGTTTGCAGATCAATGTCCCCGCAACCCCCAAAACGGACTGATAATATCCAGTATAGGATGGTGAAGAAAAGGCAGAACCCCAAAGTACAATATAACACCAAAACTCATAACCCTAGTTCTGTGCCCTAACTCTGACAGCTACTCATTCATTTGCACTTACAGCCTTTCTACTCCCACAGCAGCAAGGAAAGAGGAGATGAATTCTGCTTGGGGTAGAGGGTCGTGTTGAAATTCATTCATGCTTCAACAAATTTCTTAATAAATATCTATGGAAAGTAGACATTTTTAGCTTTGGTCTGTATTTGAAAGTTTATAGCGTGAAGATAGCTCTGAAACAAAAACTAAATTCACAGTCTTTGAGTAGATTCCTTTGAAAGGGACCCTGCAGGCCAGGGCAGAACTGCCCCTGTGGGTTTCCAAGATTGTAACTCTTTATGAGAGTAAAAAGCATTGGTTTTTTCCCTGGGAATTGCTAGTGGGTTCAAACAGCTGGTCTTGCAATTAACAGCCCAGAGAGTAAAACCACTATATCCCCAGGGCTTCTTGAAGATAATATTAAACAAGAATAACTTATTTCTCTATTTTAAATAAACTCAACAAAACCAACTCACTGCCATTGAGTCCATTTCTATTCATAGTACCCCTACAAGATACAGAGAACTGCTCCTTTGGGTTTCTGAGGCTGTAAATCATTATAGGTATGGAAAGTTTCGTCTTTCTCAGCAGTGGCTGGTGGGTTCAAACTGCTGGCCTGGTGGTTAGCAGCCCAGCACTTTTATTTACTGTAAAAATGACTCACAACTCTACATGAAGACAATTATTAACTTACTTTATGTACTTGTGCAAGGAACAAAAACAAATTCACTGCCACTGAGTTCATGCCAACTCATAGAGACCTTATACGACATGGTACAACTGTCCCTTGTGGGTTTCCAAGACTAATTCTTTATGGGACTAGAAAGCCTTGCCTTGATCAGGTGTAAGGCATCATCAGAACAAAAAATCTTACCATAGTGAATGATGGGGGGAGTGCGGAGTAGAGATCCAAAGCCCATTAGTAGGCCACTGGAGATCCCCTTGCAGAGGGGTCTCGGGGAGGAGATGAGCCAGTCAGGGTGCGATGTAACAATGATGAGAAATACAACCTTCCTCTAGTTCCTAAAGGTTTCCTCCCCGCTCCCACTACCATGACTCGAATTCGATCTTGCAAGACTGGCTAGACCAAAGGAGGTACACTGGTACAGATAGGAACTGAAAATACAGGGAATCCAGGACGGATGAGCCCTATAGGACCAGTGGTGTGAGTGGCAAAACAGGGAGGGTAAAGGGAGAATGGGTAGGAAAGAGGGAACCGATTACATGGAACTGTGTGTGACCTCCTCCCTGGGGGACAGACAACCGAAAAGCGGATGAAGGGAGACGTCGGACAGGGCAAGATATGACAAAATACCCATTTATAAACTATCAAGGGCTCATGCGGGAGGGGGGAGCGGGGAGGGAGGGGACAAATGAGGACCTAATGTCGGGGGTTTAAATGGAGAGAAAATGTTTTGAGAAACGATGTACAAATGCGCTTTACACAATTGATGTATGTATGGATTGGGATAACAGTTGTATGAGCCCCTAATAAAATGTTAAAAAAGAAAAAGAAAGCCTTGCCTTTTCCCCACAGAGTGGCTGGTGGTTTCAAACTGCTGGCCTTGCAATTAGTAACCCAATGCATAACCACTATGCCACCAGCGCATTCTTTGGGGCTGTAAGTTAAATGGCCATTGTTATAGATGTCTCTGTCCTGGACAGCTTCAAATACCAATAAGTACATTTGAATTTGTTAGGTCAAGCTAAATGTTTTATGTATAATCATCATAACAATGGCACCCTGTGAAAACCTTAAAAAGAAATCCCTGACTTCTCTTTACCACACTCTCCAATACACAGCTGGTTCAAATTAAAATGGAGGGAAGTCCAGTAGAAGGTAAAACTGTCCAAATTCACTGCCATCAAGTCGAATCTGACTCAGGGGGTAAGAAGTCACAAAAAGCCAATCTGAGCTGAGTGACAGAGGATGGGAGTCCGATGCACAGAAAAGTGTGCATCAGAGTGGGAGAGGTGAATACAGTATACACTTGATAGACCCAAAAGGGTGCCTCCGGAAGAAAGTGAAGAGAGTCGAAACACAAGAGATGCGTCAGTGGAGAAATGCATGCTTCCATACACCTGGAAGCACAATGCTGGGCAAAAGACCCATATGCTTTACACTGCCGAGAACAGAAAGTGTAGGTGCCACTAACTTCAGAGAAATAATACATCTATTGATTCCCACGAAGAGAGTATTTCCCCCCAAATTATCCCAAAGTTATCATGGTAAAGGACTGCAATGAGAGGACATTTGCTAGCACAGGTCTCATAATACACATTATTATTATGTATTATTATTATGGGAGATAACCAATTTCACAACTTGTCACAGGGGAGAGTATCTACAACCATTACCCATTTGTTTCTGCACTGTGAAATATCAATCCTTTTTCAATCAAATTAAACAGGAAAATCAAACCTTTGTCATAATTGTGGTAGCCAACTATGAAAATTTCACACTGTGAAACTATGAAATCCCCAGACTGTTTTCTTTCATCGATCTCTGTTTTACTGATAATTATGCTTTTTTACAAATAAGCATTTAGGCGATCAAGTGTCTTACTCATTATTTTTCAGAGCACAGTGTTGCATAAACCCCAAAGTAAACGTAGAATCAAGAACACACAAAAAAGAGTTGCATGAGGGCCTTTTGTGAAATATTCTGCGACTTATCTCTTCCTCCTGTGCTTCAATATGTATGTATAGTGTAGTAAAGAGAAAAGAACATTAACTATGGAATCAACAAAATTCTATCTACATCAACTACTTACTATTTAGCAACTGTCATAGGCTATTAAATTGTGATCTTTTAGCCTGTTAAATTGTGATCTTCAAGTTTTACTTATTTATAAAGATTGAAATAAAATTCTCAACTTACATAGCTGTGTATGTGAAAATGTCTACATTTCTTTACTGTTGTGAGCACTTAACTTTCAAAAAAATATAAGTCAACTCCCTTTCCTTTCATTTTACCAATGTCCACTCTATCTTACCAAAGTAAGCCAGTCTGGTGCCTCACTACAACTCAGCTGTACACTTCTATCCCACAACCTTCTGCTCTTAACAGTTTACACTCCCATGTCTCCCTTTCCCCTCAGGTGCTTTCAACAATGTTGCTGTCCACTGAGAACAAGGGTTCAACAACATTCATAATGTCCTAAGAGTTAAAAAAAAAAAAAGGAAGGAAAAAAAATCCCCAACAACATAGCAAGGGGTGTAATCACAAAGCAAAATATTTCACACATAACTGTAGGAGGACTTACACATTTTCCTACAGGAACTCCCACCCACAGGGAACAGATTCTACAAGCTGCACAATCAAAACAAATCCAACAAGAGAACGTAAGAGCAAATTAAAGTTCCTGTGCTCCCAAGGTCCCCTCGGTACGCTGAAAATAAGACTCTGTAAGAATAAGACATGCAGGTTTCAGTTCAAGGAAGTTGTGTTCATTATTCAGAATAAGAAAATACAGTTTTTCATAATCACTTAATACTGAAGTATGCTCTTTTTTATCTCGGTATTCCTCCCTGTGACTAAGAAATACATTAGGAATGAAAAATATTAACAGTTCTAAAGCAGTTTTTAAGAGCACTGATAACTAAGTATCATCAAGTGGCAGTACTTAAAAATTTAGCATGAATTATTTATACCTGAAGCGATTTATTAAGTGCAGGCATATTATAGTATAAAAGAGCTATGTAATTATGCACTATTTACATTAAAATCAACAGAAATTTTGCTCAAGTTAATTATTATTTTGTTTCTATTTTTCTTACCTGTCAAATTCATGAGAGTACAAGGGGCTACCCCCCCCCAAACCAGAACTGCACTTTTCCCCTGTACGCGAGCATCAAGCAACTTGCTCTGAGTTAGTGCACCCAGTGGCATACCTGGAAAGGCTCTCTCTGGTCACAGTGAATTTTTTCATGAAAGCACTTTCGCTAGAACCTTATTTTTTGTGATGGCTGATTTAAAAGGACATGTGGCTATGAAATTTTGTTTCCTGCTCAAGAAAAATGCTTCAGGAATTGTTCTGATGTTGAACACATCTTACAAGGACAGCACTATGGGAAAACTCAAGTGTATGAATGCCTTTCTCATTTCAAAAAAGTGAAATGTCGATTAATGACAAACCTTGTTTTGGATGTCCGTTAAATTCCCAAATGGACAAAAATATTGACTTGTGCATTTGGAGTTTCGTTCCACCAGGTCAGACTGTAAATCAAGCTATTTAGAGGTTCTGAAAAGATAGCACCCAACAGTGTGTGACAAAAAAAGGCCTGATTTGTGGCAAATGGGGGGCTGGTTTTGCAACCGCGACAATGAACCTGCTCATACAGTCCTCTCAGTGTTCCAGTTTTGGGCAAAAAACCAGCATGCCTCTCTTGCCCCATGCACCTGATTTACCTGGCCTCTCTCTGTGAGGCTGGTTTCCGCGAATGAAGAGGGACATGAAAGGGCAGCAATTTGATGAAATAGAAGAGGTGAAGAAAAAAATGAGGGAGCTGCTGTCAGCCATCCAAACAGATGAGTTTAAAAATGTTTCCAAGAATGGAATCGTAGATTTGACAAATGTATAAGTGCAATGGAGAGTACTCTG